GATGGAGGGAAATCACTCCTGGTTGACAATATCTATAAGCTCTGTAAAATGCCCAAACACCTAGAAGAACCTACCCTATTTCAGAGACCACCTCTACTTCATAAAGGTTCCCTCTTAAAGGATATGAATTACCAGATGCATCTTCAGATACCATCAGGTTGGTCCCCACAAGAAGACTGCAGGCAATGCCCACACATTTGTAAACTCTCTATCAACTGGGCTACACTTACCCAGATGAGGGTGGAAATCTGGAGAGGCATGGCTTTCTGTCTGCAGAGCTACAGATCATGGCGTACACTAATGAGCTCTGGTAGCCCATAGTGCAATTCATCAAATTCTGTTTCCTGTTTTTTTTTGCTTTTTGTTTTTGTTTGTTTGTTTTTCTGACAGAGAGCAGGACTGGCTTTCCTTTTCCTTTTTTTTTTTTTTTTTTTTTTTTTTTTTTTTTTTTTTCCGAGACAGGGTTTCTCTGTGTAGCTTTGCGCCTTTTCCTGGAACTCACTTGGTAGCCCAGGCTGGCCTCAAACTCACAGAGATCCACTTGGCTCTGCCTCCCAAGTGCTGGGATTAAAGGCGTGCGCCACCACCGCCCTAGGACTGGCTTTCCTTATGACTGGGTAGTGCCTTGAAGTTCTGGCTAGTGAATGGAGCAGAGCCCTTTGCTATTTCCAAGCCAGTGGAGTTGCTTGGTGACACAGGGAATGAGTTTTGCAGTTCTTCAGGCGGCTGGTAATGCTGAGGATGATGATTATTATCTGGTTATCAGCTAGGGTCCTCACTGACTCTCATCAGCAGTGCCCTCCCACTCATCTGCAGAAACACACGATGTGGACAAGAAAATACAGTTTGCATTTTAAGCCACTGCCATTTTAAGGTTTTCTCCACCTTAGTGTAGCCTAGATTAATCTAATTTAAGAGCTGAGAGTTGAGAAGAACTTAAAAAAAATTACATAAAATCAAGGTCACTTCTGTTGAAAGAGAAAACAATACAAAGCAACTTAGAACTTGTTTGACTTAGTGTTGCTGTATACTGAAAATACAACTTTTTTCATCCCTTAATTCTTTAAGATTTTGTTTCAAAGTATATTTCTCTAAACCTGCTAAGATATGCAAATTGTATGATTCTAGTATGACAAACCCATTCTGTCATTTGAGTAATACTTAGAAAACATTGATGCTAAATATGTGGGATATTTTTCTACTTCATATTTTGTTTTGCTAACTTTCTTGTGATGAGGACACTTTAATATATAAGAGGTGAAATATATTTAGGACATAAATTTGAAGGCTTTTAAAGAATGGCTTCCCATTTGCAAAAGGAATACCCAAGGACATGGAACTGATTCACAGGAGTGATCAGGACTTTCTACAACCACACCTCCTGCTTTCTTCTCTGTAGTGGAGATCGATCTATGGATTTCCAGGCATAGCGTTGGCCTTGGAGACTGCACAAAGTTTGGATCACGGTTTTGCGAAACTTAACTGCTCTGTGATCTTACTTTTCTCATAAATGGTGATTCTAACATTGCCTGATTTGCAGGACTGATTGTGAAAACTAAGTAAAGCAATGAATGAAGGGCATAGAACAGTGCCAGGCATCTGCTGGATGATCACTCTAACATTGAAAGCAGTATTCCAGGAAGTGATCAATAAAGCAACAAATCATGTTCTCCCCATGTGATAGACCATGCCTCCTACTTGATTAATCATCCTGTATGACTTGTAGTGCCTGGCACAAAGGTGTGTTCACAACTATAGCAATGCTGAGGGATGGAGAAGATGACCTGCTCTGCTCTTGGCCTGGCCACTCCCTTGCCTACTCTGCCCAGCGCACCCAGCAGGGAGGATTGCATAAGTCTCCAACTGTCCCTGTACTTTTCTCCTCTTCTGCAAAAACAAACAAAAATATAAAAAAGGATACAAAAGAGTTATGAATCACAGGGCTATAAAACTTAATGAACCTTCTTAATTTTGTGACACTTTCCAGGAAAATGATTTTTGTAAAATTACTTTTGCTTGCAAATAACCAACAGTAATGAAACCACACAAAGTTGTACCATAGTCTTAAAATTTTCAAGAGAAAGTTAGTGTTGATGACAGTATCTTGTTGGCACCGGTGCCTTCACTTAGCAATGGTGTTTTCTCCTATGTGCTTTGCGGAGAAATAAAGGGAATGTGTGCTAGGAGTCTCTATGGTCTCCCTACACAGCCTAGGCTGACCTAGAATTTGAGATCCTCTTCCGTCAGCAACAGGAGCACTGGGATTATAAGTGTGCAGGAGCCCAGTCGGCTGCTACAAGATCAAGTTTGAGGAAAACCACCCAATGTTAGTATATCATATACTCCATCGTTCTTACATGAATGTGAAAAGATGACTTACAGGCAGGCAGTCATTAAAAGTAACTGACATTCAGAGTCACTATTTCTCTACCTGTCCAGTAGGTAGTTATTAGTAGTGTAATACATATTATGGTTGCTTAGAAGGTAGGACTGTTAGATGGTGAGTTAGGGAAAAATTAACTCCATAAGTTAGATAATGTTGAGTCAGGAAACAAGTATACAAAACTTCGAACAGCATACAGTTACAGCTTTATTTAGTTGTGTGAACTTACTTGGTTTCTTTATCCCTCAGCTTTTCCAAAAAAGAAAAAAAGTGGAGATGTTCCTGAACAGGAGCATGTGAAGAGTTAAGCTAATATCTGCAAGTGGCTTAGAATGATGTCTGGGATATAGTAAGAGAGTGCCACATGAGTACTTGTTAAATACACCAGAGGAATGACAACAATGACCGGTTATAAAGAATGGCTTGTGAGGAAGCTTTTGGATAAAGGTACAAGCCGCAGAGCAACCAGACACACTCATTCCTTCAATATCTGCAATTCCGTGAGAAGCAAGCTGAAGCATGTTGGCCGTGAAGGGTTGATTCCCATTTGAAATGACACATGGACCAGAGGCTGAAACATAACGGAGGCCCAGCTGGAGTGGAAGTAAAGGAACATGTACACAGAAAGTATGGCATTGTTTCTTGTGGGTTCCACAGTACAGTCTAAGTACTGTACTCTCTCCCAGTTGCAGTTTTCCACAATGCTGCACACAGCACAAAGGCAATGTGTGGGATGTGAAGAGTACAGATTCTCAAGTACCCAAGGATATGCTACTTGAGTAAAATTCTAACCTGCTTCACAAAGGCAGCTAAAATTATGCTGTGGTGAGGCTGGCATAGAAACCTCTCAGGCATTTCCTCTAGCCTCCTGTGCCAGTTCATCGACAAGCATTCAATGGTGGCACACACAAACTAACTCACCAACTATGAAAGCTGGCATTTTTTCTTCTTTCTGTACAATCATCCGTCTACCAATTCTTCTCTGCTTTCCTCGTACATAGTCCCCTCACTAGAGTCTCTGCCACTGATGCAGAGTCATCCTGGGGTCACCATCAGTGACTCTTACACCGATTCTGCCTCACTGTACCTCATTTACTTTAGTGATCAACATTCTCCTTATCTTGGCACTACCCTGTCTGTGTAAGGCAGTATTAACTTACCAAGCTGACATGCAGAATCCCCTTATTCCACTCACATTAGCGATGCTATAGCATTACTCATTGGAGTTTGCTCCCTTTAAACAGAGTTTCTAAAATGTTTGCTTTGGTGTGTTTTCCCTTGTTTGGAATAATTTAATCAAACTTTTATTTCTGGCTATTCCAGTAGCTTTGGCTATTAATAGACTAGTTCACTGTTAACCCTCTAAGCTCCATGTCTCATTACTCATGTGGTATCTCTTTGTTTTTGTGTTTACACGAATGCGCTCTCCTTAACACAACTGTAAGTTCCCTGATGAGGGGGAGCATCAATTACTTTTGCTTACTTATTTAATAAGTATTACTGACCTCTACAACTCCACTGGTCAGTGTTTCAGGCAATAGTAATGAGGAAGACAGGTCCTGTCTCTAGTAGTCCTCATGGAGCTTACATTTTAAATCTAGTAATTATGTGCATGCAGTGAATGGTGAAAAACAATATGATATATCATGAAGAAAGACAGTGTGCTAGGAGAACATGAACTTTCAAGAAAATGCTCCAGAGCTGAGATTGATAAAATAGAAGCCAACAAACAGAAGCTTGGTACCCAAGGGGACCAGAGCAAGGTTTGGTACATGCACTGCAGAAGGCAGAAGGCAAGCCTCCAGATGAGGCCCATAAGGACAGGCTAGTTGCAATTCCTGGCACTGAGCCACAATCAGGAAGCACTGTCCAAAGGACTGTGCACTTAGGCAGCCTTTCAGGGGTGTAACACACCACAGGAAGACACTGCTCAACAAGACTATGCCTGGACCTTTGTTGTTGCTTGGTTTAAAAACAGTGCTCAATACCCAGGCTGTAAACAAACACAAATGCTTAAGAGAGGTGTCAAATTCCTCATTTTACTCACCCCAACATACCAGATGAGGATACAAGATGAAGGAAATGACCCTGAAAAGGTGCTGTGTGGCATAAAGGATGAGAGGATCTGCTACTGACAGCTGCCACCTTAACTTTTCTTCAATTCAATACAGAGGCATAGACCAATGACAACAATGATATGGGCAAAGGCCCACCCCACATCATAAGTTAGATGCCCAGTGCTTTATGCAGGCCACCTAACATATGGTGGCAAAGCTGTGACCCCAGAGGTGGAGAGGTTGTACATTCAATTATAAGTTTCCACTTTCTGTAAGCATTAAGATGCCCAAAGCAATATATTCTGTTTACATAAAATACATTGTATTAACTATATTTGATAAGAGAGATGACTGCTCCTTCTCAACTTAAATCAAAGAATGCTTACTTAAGTGTTTTTTTAATTGAATCAGACTTTAATGCTGTCGTATAATCTTGGTTAACAGTGCTCATCTTGATTATTCTAACAAAGAAGAAATTAATACTTCAGTTGTAGAGCTCATGTCTCCCTATAAACAAAACAAAACAAACAAACACACACTAGAAAATTCAAAACAGGTACCTGGGACATCTGTAAAAGTTTCTCCAAGGACAGAGACGTGGAAATTGAGTCCTAAGTCCTTTAGATGCATTAATACCTTAAAAAAACTCTCTGGATCTTTGTCATGTTCCCTGTAAATAAACAGAAAATATACCCAGTGTTACCTCAGGGTACATGGTAAGAAAAGTGTTCTGTTCATATGGTGTCAGTTCCTGTCAAGATCTTGTGCTGGTGAGGAAGCCCCTCCCCGAACTGTAAGTCATCTCGCATCCAGACCTGCTGTCAGAATCAAACTCAGGCCCACCTATGGGTTATAAAATAAAAGGACCTTTTCTTGGAGGGGAAATCTGTCTTAAAAAGACTAAGTAAACTATACAGTATTTCTTCCTTCCAAATAGTTAATTTTTCACTAAGCACACATTTATTTTCTTAAAGAAAAAAAACTTGAAAGGATTATTTTTTGTTCTTCATCATGAGGATGAAGCACAGAAGCTTGCCTTTCCACAGGAAGGAAGCCTTTCTCCCACGGAGCCAGCCTCAGTACTCTGACCAAGAGCACACAATTTAAGAAAGAGACTAGCGCCTTTCACTAATCTCTTGTTTGCAATCACTCAGTGGAAAATTATAATGCAACAAAAGGGATGGATAAGTCTGAATCTATCTATACTAAATACCAACTTAGAGAGTGGAGGGTAGTCAACATGTAAAAGAATCTGAACAGAAAATACTTTCATTTAGCACAGGCATGAAGAAACATCAAATGTTTTCGGCTTGTTCAGTTTGTCAGTCTTTGCTAATGACAGAATGAGAGGCTAAAAGACACTAAAATTAAAGAAAAATATTCTTCAACAAATCATACTTAAATGGAATTTTTTAACCTTCTAAGGTGTGAATATTTCAGTATTTCTTGTATTTAATTACACTGTTTTTAAATTATCTTATTTCAGACAGATGTAGACCAGATGTCCTCAAAATATTTGTTTTTTATTTATAATTCAGAAATTTGATTTTTTTCATTACAGAAAATAGTTATATACCAGCAATTGAATTTCTCATTTACTAATTATATAAAATAAATCTGTAAAATTATTAAACTGCTATATGAAATATGAAAATTACATCATTCAAGAAACCTCATGAAAAATGACATCTGTACCCCTTAATGTGTTAATTCACAATTCAGTCAATATTTTCAGTATCATGAATTGAAACAAATGCATCTTCTAATTAACATTTTAAAACAGCATTTATAATCTTATGAAACTGTAAGATCTTATAAAATTAGAGTTCTCAAACAATTTGTTTTAAGTGCTATGTCTCTCAGTTTGATTTACTTCAAATAATAAAAGATGCAATGGCAAAATGTTCATTGCTTTTTAAGATGATGTGTATTATATACATGCACCATTGGGAAGTGTTTGGATAGTTTTCATATATACTACTGCTGTGGGCAGGAACAAAGACTCCAAACAGTGTGAGAGGAAAGCATATACCATATGCAGTCTTCAACCATATCAATCAAATAACTGCCACCTTATCTTGTAAAATGCTCTTTCAGTCTGATTCTCTTGGAGATACTTAGATGAAAAGGATGGAAACAATATAACATAATACAGCTTAAGAGAGAGTAACACTGTAGGGAAATCTAGCCACTCAGTTCTCTAAGTTTTTCATTTGGCATTCAAAAAATCTGGCTACAGATCCCTGGTATATCATGTATTCTAACTATTGTCTTGTGTGCATGTGTGGAGGGTGGGCGAGGGGGCGGCACATGCATGGAAACATAAAAGGAGATTCAGTGTGTAGGTGGGATGAGACTTAACTGGGTAAAGAGTGTAGTTCCTATAACTTCCAGTATGTTTAAAACAGTAGGATTTACGAACATCCATTTTCATTGCTTCTATACAGAAATAGTTGCATTGCAACCTAACACATACTTTAGATATTCCTTCTAGGTAGACAAAAGCTTTAATATTCAATAGTCATTTTGTGTAAGAACACAAACAAGATTGGTGTGAACCATCTTTCATTTTGTTTAAATCATAATATGTAGCTGAATATAAGGTGGAAGTTTATTTGTTAAAAGTTATCCCTCATAAATAGGGACATTTTATACTCAAGTTCTTAAAAAATGTATCATGATATAGGGGAACTCTTTATTCATTTTTGGGAACAGCCTGTTAGCCTTTAACTGATGAGAATTTTGGATGATTTTAGCACTTCCTCACTTGGTGGTACTAGTGAAAGCAGACTCATAGGAATTAAACACTGAGATGGTGTCATTTTGGGAAGTATGACCTAACAATTCTAAGTGCTGAGTGGTTTTGAAAACAAATACCAAGAAACCACCACCATCTCCAGCAGGCACCACCAGCATCTCTCTCTCTCAAACACACACACACACACTGACTAAGTGGTCATGAGATCATGAGCAGCAAGCAGGTTTCCATAGGTGGAGAAGAGATTTCTAGTGATGCCATGGGGCAGTTTCAGTCTCGTTCTGCAATCCAGAATGCCAGACAGCAGGTCGTAGAAGCAGGCCAATTGTCTGAATAAGGGCACCACTATGGTGTCAAAAGTACAAGAAAGGTGAGCTTGAAACAAAATTGCTTCCTGAAATATGAGGGTAGGAAAAGAGCAACAATTCTCAAGGCACTCTTCAGCATATACGCTTTACAGTATTGTATGTATACACTAGTAGATTTTAATACAACTATAGTCCTACTTATTGGATTTATGTTGCTCAAAGCTCAATATAAGCAGTATGCTGGATAGTTTTATGTCAACTTGACATAGGCTAAAGTCATCTGAAAGGAGGGAGCCTACATAAGATCAGGTTGTAGGCCAGCCTGTTAAGGTATTTTCTTAACTGGTGATTGATAGTGGAGGGCCCAGCCCATTGCAGGTGGTGCCAGATTCTGGGTTCTATAAGAAAGCAGGGTGAGTGAGCCATAGGATTTAAGCCAGTAAGCAGTACCCCTCTGTGGCCTCTGCATCAGCTCTTGCTTCTAAGTTTTTGCCCTGTTTGAATTTCTATCCTGACTTCCTTTGATGATAAACAGTGATATCAAAGTGTAGGACAAACAAATCCTTTTCCTCCCCAGCTTGCTTTTTGGTCATGGTGTTTGGTCATGGTCATCACCCTAATTAAGACAATCAGTTTAGTTGAAAGGTTTTTTTTGGATTTTCTTTGTGGTGAAATGGGAAATTGTCTAACATTCAACCTTTAAAGAGTTCCACATATAATAACCATACCTTACAACAAGGCATGAGTGATGAATGAACAGCAGAGCCAACTACTGTGTCCTGCAAGGGATGAGCTCTGGGCATCCAGTGGGCCATACAGTTCCTCTGATACTAATGAACCCATTGAGCAGAACATGCTATACCTTAAATATACTTTCAAATTAGTCTAAATGTGAAACTCTCGTCCATGTGGTTGTAGAAGAAAGTATTACATGTATAGTGAAGGGTCTGACGAGGACACATCTGCTATCAAGATGAAACATGCTTTTTGCAAGAAACTTGTCTCTAGATCCATATTTCTGTTCTCACGTTTCTGGTGGGAAATGGTTGATATAATCTTTAGAGGGAAATTTGCTAATGGTCATGATAAGCCTTAATGTGTGCATAACTTTTTCTCTAATAATTATAATTTATGAAAGTCAGCCTAAAAAGATGCACACAGAAATTCTGCTACAATGTATTCATAACAGCATTACTTATAATGGCAACTTTGTAAAAATTTAAAGTGGTGACAATTAAATATATTTTGATACATATGATACAATTCTTAGCAGTCATTAAAAATAATGTTGCATATGTGTGCTTCTGGGCATGGAAAATTATTCAGTACTAAGTATTCAATAGCCAGTACTTCTGAGTAAAAGGAGTTGGCAGAGAAGCATGACTTTTATGATCTGCCTGTGCAGGACAAATAGATGCCTATAACTGTTACAACGTTCATCTCTAAATTGTTAGGTTTGTTCTGGCTTGTTTTCTCTTTTGTTTTCAATAAGCTTTGTTTGTGTAAATTATTTTGAATATTTTAAAGAACCCATTCCTAATATTCTACCACAACTCTGAGTTCATAAGCTTTCTTCTTAACTTGAACATTTCAGTACCCAGCTGTTTCATTTTTTTTCCCCCACGACCTTCTATGTTTGACAAAAGCCAGCCAAGCAAACTTGTTTAAATAAACAAGACATTTCAGTCAATGTGTCAGGATTCAGGCTTCCTGATCATACCCATCCTACTGGTAGGTAAGGATAGAACAGCCTGGCAGGGAATTCATTTCTCCACACCCCCACTACAGCAGAAGAGACCAGCAGGGAAATATTTCAGGCTTCCTGGAAGCAGAAGATACAGCAAGAACAGCTTTTATTCCCAAATATTATTCAGAACATTTGAAAAGCATAAACTGTTTCCATGTGTTTTTTCTTCCTATATCTGTCTCTCTCTGTTGCCTTTCCTGTTTCGTTTCAGAGAGCTAAATTTCTTCTTATTCCTCACTTAGCACTCATTCAGTAAATATTTATTGAGGACTTCTAAGTTCTCCATACTTGTCACTTATACTGTTACCATTTCCGATTTTCCCACATAACTGTGTATATATTGAGCAGTCTCTTTGATCTAGCTCCTGTCTGGCTTGAGAGAAATTGGCTCTTTCCAGAAGCATACTACTCTGCATCCAGAGCTCTGTGGAAAGGGCAGAGGATGCCTACTTTGTTTACTGGGTATCAATTGCTGAGCTGAGCAATGAGGGACTATTTGTGTTAACATGAATATCCAGTCTCTATTTCTGAGAACATAGATTCCTTATTTACTCCCTTGCTGTGGGTGAGGACCAGTGCCAGCCAATGGATTGCAAGCTGACTGACATATGTCACCTTCAGATAAACACATCTGAGAGCAGTTCTAGATAGCTTAGTAAACTCTGCAGCGATGCTGTGTTAAGATAAGCAGGTTCAGGTTGTCACATGCAGACTTGTCCCACATGTAGAAGTGTACAAAGGTGAAAGATGGTTCTTTTGTCTAAAGCAACCGAATCCTATGGGGGTGAGGAAGTGTTCACTACTGCAGCATAACCTAGTTCACCTCAATCAGAGTACCATCTGTGGCACACAGTCAG